TACGTCACCGCATGCGATGTTTTCGCGGGTGTCGCTGGCGTCATTCCGATCCCTGGTGGCTGACATAGATGTTGATCTGTCTTGGGAGGACCTGGAGGCAAATAAAACAGACCCAGATTACACAGCACCAGTATTTACGTCATCGCCGCCGACAGTGATGTGGTCGTAGGGTGTCTCACTGGCGTCAGTCTGATGCCCTGGTGGCTGACATAGATGTGGACTGTCTAAGAGTGACCTGGAGGCAACAACAGACCCAGACACAGCACCAGTATCTACGTCATCGCCGACAGTGATGTGGTCGCGGGTATCAATTGACGTCAGTCTGATCCCTGGTGGCTGACGCAGAATGGGACTGTCTTCCGGAAAGTGCGACCCGGAGGTAACAACAAACCCAGACTCGGTACCCGTATCTACGTCATCGCCGACAGTGATGTGTTTCGTAGGTGTCACTGACGTCAGTCTGATCCCCTTGTGGCTGACGAATAGATGTTGATCGTCTTGGAGTGAAACTGGAGGCAACAACAGACCCAGACACAACTCACCAGTATCTACGTCATCGCCGACAGTGATGTGGTCGTAAGTGTCATCCTGACGTCAGTCTGATCCCTGGTGGCTGACATAGAAGGGGACTGCTCCAGGAGTGACCTGGAGGTAATAACAGGATAATTCCAGACACAGCACTCAGTATCTACGTCATCGCCGACAGTGATGTGGTCGTAGGTGTCACTGACGTCAGTCTGATCCTCCTGGTGGCTCGCTATAGATGTGGACTGTCTTGGAGTGACCTGGAGGCAACAACAGACCCAGTCACAGCACCAGTATCTACGTCATCGCCGACAGTGATGTGGTCGTAGGTGTCCACTGACGTCAGTCTTGATCCCTTGAGTCTGACATAGATGTGGACAGGAGAGACCTGGAGGCAACAACAGACCCAGACACAGCACCGTGTATCTACCCTCATCGCCGACAGTGATGTGGTCGCGGGTGTCGCTGGCGTCAGTCTGATCCCTGGTGGCTGACATAGATGTGGACAGGAGTGACCTGGAGGCAACAACAGACCAAACACAGCACCAGTATCTTCCGTCATCGCCGACAGTGATGTGGTCGTAGGGTGTCACTGACGTCAGACTGATCCTTGAGGCTGACATAGATGTGGACAGGGTGACCTGGTGGCAACAACAGACCCGGCAGACACACCACCCAGTATCTACCTCATCGTCGACAGTGATGTGGTCAGGGGGTGTCACTGGCGTCAGTCTGATCCCTTGAGGCTGACATAGATGTGGACAGGAGTGACCTGGGTGGCAAGCAACAGACCCAGACACACCACCAGTATCTACCTCATCGTCGACAGTGATGTGGTCGGGGTGTCACTGGCGTCAGTCTGATCCCTGGTGGCTGACATAGATGTGGACTGTCTAAGAGTGACCTGGAGGCAAATAACAGACCCAGTCACAGCACCAGTATCTACGTCATCGCCGACAATGATGTGGTCGGGGGTGTCACTCGACGTCAGTCTGATCCCTTGAGGCTTGCGAAGCATAGATGTGGACAGGAGTGACCACGTAATACAACCACATTTACACACAGGCAGACACTATATTATGATATGCATTTTACATGCTGGTTATCATAATCAATAGTTTTGTTCCGAAAGCCCAATGTTTCATTCCTTCCTCGAAAGTTGCACTTCTCTGGGAGAAAAACGTGTAAAAGCGGTTTTTAAACCGATTTTAAGAGTGAGAAAGTGAGTTATGATGGTTTAAAAGCCACTTTTAGTTAATATTCCAGCAATATCACGGCAGGGAACACAAAGAAAATGGGCTTTACATTGTCCCCGTGTGCGGAATCGAACCAGGGTGTTCCACGTGGTAAGCGAACGCTTAAGCCACGACGCCCCAAAGACCCGGGTCTGATTCCCCACATAGGTACAATGGGTGAAACCCACTTGGTGTCTCACGCCGTGATATTGTTGGAATAGTAACGAAACTCCCATGAAAATGCCATACATTGCTCTTCTGAAATTAATTACTGGCTACCCTGGATGTCTGTCTGTGGTGGGGAAAGGGGAAGTGGGGGAGGGTGAAATTACTACGACGGACGTCATACAGTAAGTGCGCCATGAAAGTATGAGCACTCAGTATCTGATCTATGTTTGCTGAGAGTTGAGCTACACATAGTTCCATCATGTTGGGAATTAGCAGAGTAGAGTTACCTCCCTTCAACCTAGAGCTGCGACTCCATTTATGACTTTCACCACAGAGGTAAACACCCACAGACATCACCTTTGTGTCACAATGACCTGACACTGCATATACTGTGAACTGCATTGCAAATATTTATGACTTGTGCATCAATACGATATCACCTGGGACATAAAAGTGGCATCCACGTTCGTACACATTGCTGCACTGGATGCCCGGCTTGATGAGCTTATCATACGTGTACACAAAACTTGTTTAACAAATGAAGTTCACTCAATGTACCTCAAAACAGCGACGACTCTCACTATTGCAGGCCAATTGCACTACTCCATTCTTGTCAGCCACGTCCTATGGTATAAGTCCTCGTCGTCATTCACTTTATTACAGGTAGTTTTTATTCGTGGTGACGACCCTCGGATTACCGAGACTGAAAGATGTTCACACCTGCCTTCTCACTTCTGGTGTAAATGTTTAATCTAAGGATGGGCTCTAATATGGTTTGATGTGGTGAATGTATTAAATGTTATATAATATGCACGTGGAAGTGTAACGAGAGAAGTGGTCAGTTGAGTTGCAAAAATCTTACTGTCATCCTGTACTGTAGATTTGTAAAACATATTCATATATGCAGTCTTACTAAAACAGACGGGAATACACCAACATCTCGGCGCCTGTGTAAATGCAAAATACTTTCTTCAAAAGGATTAGCAGATAGTATGTTGAGTGATGGATTGTTGTCTGATTCCGTTTTTAATGAACCTTGAATATAATAAACATAGATAGCATGTGTGCTATCTAACCTGACCAGTGAGACGTGCTGAAACAACCAGTTGCGAGACAAACTCGAGTTATAATATCCAGACACGCTTTAAATATATTTAAATATTTTATTTTGTTACAAAGAGTAACGTGTTACATTTGGGATTACATTTTCTCAGTAAAGTTCCGATTCTTGTACTTTTTGAGAGTTGAGTGCCATCCGGGATTCGAACCCTCGCTCAGAGTCAGGAACACAAATCCTAAATATAACATGTGTCACTTTTGACCACTTTCTTTAAAAGAAATGTGTTTTCATAGCTCTCGGCCGTGGAGCCGTGCCAGTTTTCACACTTATATGAGGCATAATAATTGATGTCTAATAAGACAGGTTACACGCAGGCATGGATAGAATATAACATTTCTAGAAAGCACGACAGGGACAAAAGAGGGTTTCTCTTTGTGAAATACATTCTTTGGATTGTGACTACTAACACTGTGTTGGTAAAGCATCAACACACTTATAATGAGGGGAAGCGTTCAAAGCGAAAACAGCACATATTACTTCAGTCTTATATATACATGATAAACATGGCACTCATTACTTGTAAGTTAAAATATCACATTCCTTAGAAATAAAAATCTGGTAGCTATAAGAATATTTTACATTTCAAAAAACATATTAACCATTCATAAATTGGAAATATTTCACTACAAACGGTTCCGCTATTCACAAACGCAAATCTACAAGGAATGCCAAAATTTATACTCAGATTGAAAACAGATTTAGACAGTAAAATCAGATAAATTCTGATCGAAATAACACACCCTGACTTTTTAACGTATACAGAATCATAGCTAGATATTAGTGACAAGTGTAGCAGCTAATATTTCGATTTGTTCTTTTGCGATAGACTTTTGAATTAACACTAATAGTAAAACATTCTTGTGCCATATACCCGGGACCTTCAGACAATCAACGTACTGCCTGGGTTCAGACAAATACCAGCATCTGCTGCATATGGCGATCTTGTGCAATATACCCGACACCTTCAGACAATCAACGTTTTGCCTGGGTTCAGACAATGACGTCTGTGTTGTACATGCAGAGTGTCATGTTGATGATGAAGACTTTTCTACCGATTGTAGTCGTTGAAGGATCCTGTAACGTTGTGGCCTGATATCACTTCTCCTGTTACATCTACATAGTAGGGATAACCAACACTCATCATAACCCACATGGGTCTGTCAAAATCTACATCTGTAACAGTGGTGTACACTGTGTTATCAGCAGCATTGATAACTGACAGTTTGTTGTTAGCTCCATCCAGTACAAAACACAGTCGCAGGTCATAAGACTGACCAACATTGTACTGGGTGAGTGGGTGTGTCTGAGGACGGTGCTATTATAGGCAACCCGGAGACGCAGCTGCTGCTTGTGGTTTGGGCATGTAACAACACATATACTCAGTCCAGTGCGTTGAATGATGGTAGCACCTACAGGGGTGGGGGTTAGAGCAGTCTCTAGCATCATACGCTTGTCTGGTATACATCCTTTCACAGAGAACCCAAGGTTTACCTGATAGATGCACTGTTGACCGGGGCTGTTTCGGACCATCAGAGGTCTGGACGCCAGAACTGATGTGATTTCTTGTATCCGACATCCTGTATCAGGAGAAGGGGTGGTTGGTGGAGTGTTGGTAACTACCCGACCAGATACGCTTATACGACGCCGAGCTGTTCCTGGGTCCAATTCCAGCATAGGGCCTGTGTGAAGAATAACATTCATAACTAATACAAACCATTTCCATTGCAGTGAACGAGAAGTTATTGATATTATAGAAACAAAAGTTATGGAGATAAATCATATGTATGTAGCTGTACGATAACCTTTAAATAAAACTCTGTACAGGATCCATACATCGAACTATACCTCCAGGGTAAATGAACTGGGTCTCATGTTACTATTATGAATATCACACTAGAGTGATGTATTGACACATGTGACACAGAAAACGTATTGAAGCATCACCAAGGACACGATGCCCCCATCCGAACTACTCACATGTTATCTCCCCTTCACCCAACTTCCGGTCCGTCTCCATCACTGGAAACGAGGCATAGGTCACGTGATGTCTCCACAATATCATATATATGTTCTGGAACTGGTAAAACAGTCCCACAGACCTCTTTCGAAACAGACGGCGTTAAACACCAAATTAGGACCAGCTCCAAAGAGAGAATGATCTGAGAGCTACTGGTGTGACGATTCATCGATACGCATCGATGCATCAATCCACGGGCAGCCGATACAGTGAATCGATACAAAGGTGAAAACTGTTGTATATCCTGATATCCTGGGCCACGATACATCGATGTTTTACTTTGAATATTGCCGAATCGCGATATCTGTCAAAAAATATTTTTGGGTTTGATGGTTAAAATATATGCATAATTATTGCCAAAGTTTAACATAATTTGCTTCAGCTGGAAGGAAATTTGAAATGTGTCAAATATTCTGTTTTAGTGGTAATGTTTCCTTTCGTCCTGTGCTCGTTAGTTTCTGGTTTTGATACAACTACAACTCTGGCGTATCAAATTCCACCATTACCTACTGAACTGTTGCTCACCCCGACCTCCCGTCTAATCAGTTGGAGCTGACATAGATGTGGACTGTCTTGTGACCCAGGAGCAACGGCAGCAACAAACCCAGCACCAACACCAACACCTACATCACGGTCGGTGGCGATGTGTTTTGTGGGTGTCAGTGGCCTCAGCCGACATAACACGTGGTGTGCTAAGATATCGTCAAAGCTTAAACTCGTGCATAGAATACCACTATTCCCCACTAAACTAACAGCATATTGTCCACGTAATACAACAACATTACACACAGTAAGCCCTATATTATGATATACATTTACATGCTGGTTATCATAATCATTAGTTTTGTTCCGAAAGCCCAATGTTTTATTCCTTCTCGAAAGTTGCACTTCTCTGGGAGAAAAGCGGGTACAATCAAAGAGATATTTTAAACCGATTTTTAGGAGTGAGAAAGTGAGTTATGATGGTTTAATGCCACTTTTAGCAATATTCCAGCAATATCACGGCGGGGTACACAAGAAAATCGGCTTTACACATTGTCCCCGTGTGCAGAATCGAACCTGGGTGTTCCACGTGACGAGCGAACGCTTAAGCCACGACGCCCCAAAGACCCGGGTTCGATTCCCCACATGGGTACAATGTGTGAAACCCATTTGGTGTCTCCGCCGTGATATTGTTGGAATGTAAACGAAACGACCATAGAATGCCATACTTTTCTCTTCTGAAATTAAGTACTGGCTACCCTGGATGTGTGTCTGTGGTGGGGAAGGGAAGTGGGAGGAGGGTATTGGGGTGTGAAATTACCATGAACGGACGTAATACAGTAAATGCGCCATGAAAGTATGTGCACTCAATATCTGGCCTATGTTTGCTGAGAGTTGGCTTCACATAGTTCCATCATGTTGGGAATTAGCAGAGTAGAGTTACCTCCCTTCCACCTAAAGCTGCGACTTCCATTTATGACTTTCACCACAGAGGTAAACACCCACAGACATCACCTTTATGTCACAATAACCTGACACTGCATATACTGTGAACTACATTGCTAATATTTATGACTTGTGCATCAATACAATATCACCTGGGGCATAAAAGTGGCATCCGCGTTCGTACCTATTGCTGCACTGGATGTCGTGCTTGGCGTGTTTATCATACGTGTACAAAGACTTTGTGTACCAATGAAGTTCACTCAATGTACTCAAAACAGCAACGACTCTCACTATTGTAGGCCAACTGCACTATTCCATTCTTGTCAGCCACGTCCTATAGTATTAGTCCCCGTCGTCATTCACTTTATTACAGGTAATTTTTATCAGTGGTGACGGCCCTTGGATTACCGAGACTGAAAGATGTTCACACCTGCCTTCGCACGTCTGGTGTAAATGTTTAATCTAAGGATGGGCTCTAATATGGCTTGATGTTGTGAATGTATTAAATGTTATATAATATGCACGTGGAAGTGTAACGAGAGAGAAGTTGTCAGTTGAGTTGCAAAAACTCTTTTATCAAACCGATAATGCTGTCATCCTGTACTGTAGATTTGTAAACATATTCAGATATGCAGTTTTACTAAAACAGACGGGAATACACCCACATCTCGGCGCCTGTGTAAATGCAAAATACTTTGTTCAAAGGATTAGCAGACAGTATGTTGAGTGATGGATTGTTGTCTAACTAACCTGAATGTTTTTAATGAACCATGAATATAATAAACATATATAGCATGTGTGCTATCTAACCTGACCAGTGAGACGTGCTGAAACAACCAGTTGCGAGACAAACTCGATTTATAATATCCAGAAAAGCTTTAAATATATTTAAATATTTTATTGTTACAGAGTACCATGTGTTATATTTGGGATTACATTTTCTCAGATTCAAGTACTTTTGAGACTTGAATGCCATCTGTGATTCGAACCCACACTCAAAGTCAGGAACACAAATCCTAAATATAACGTGTTATTTTTGACTACTTTCTAATTTTTATTGTGTTTTCATAGCTTTCGGCCGTGGGATCTGTGCCAATTTTCACTTAGCAGAGAGAATAATAAAAATAACAATAATTCATGTATATAGCGCCTAGTATCCATCTCACTGCTTATTGTGTGGGTTCGAACCCCGGATATATCGAGACATCGGTCGCGCTATAACGCGATAGTTGCCCCCCGGTAAACTGCATTCTAGCCTGTAGTACTACAGAATTACAGCGTTTATGAAATCTCTGTAACCGGTGAGATTATGGCTGTGAATGTTTGTTGTTACCAAAGCAGATATATATATTTCTTACACCGTTGTCAAGCTAGAGGTGACCAGCTGATGAGAAGTATATATGCATTGTAGGTAGTGACAAGCAGAGATTAACCACAACAACAACAACAACAACGTGTAATTGATGTCTAATTAGACAGGTTACATACTGGCATGGATAGAATATAACATTTCTAGAAAGCGTAACGACAGGGAAAAAGAGGGTTTCTCTTTGTTGCATACATTCCTTTGGATTTCCAAGTCAATTCTTATCAAATATTTATATTCAATATGTAAGGACACTGTGACTACTAACACTGTGTTGTTAAAGCATCAACACACTATATTGAGGCCGAAGCGTTCAGTGCTGCGATACCAAGCGTAAATCATCACATATTACTTCAGCCTTATATACATAATAAACATGACACTATAGCTGTATGTTAAGTTAAAATATCACATTGCTTAGAAATGTAACTATAAGAATATTTAAAACTTCAAATACACATTAACCGTTCATAAATAGGTAATAATTCACTACAAATGGGTCCGCTATTTACAAACGCAAATCTGCAATGAATGGCAAATGTTATAAACCATTTAAAATAGATTTGTCAGTAACTCAGATTAATTCTGATCCAAATAACACACACCCTCTATTTTAACGTACACAGAATCACATTTAGATATTCGTGACATGTGTTGCAGTTCATATTTCGTTTTGTTCTTTTGCGATAGACTTTGTAATTACCACTAATAGTGAAACATTAATCGTTACTGCATATACGAGCATCTTCTGCATACTGCGATCTTGTACAATATACCCAGGGCCTTCAGACAATCAACGTACTGCCTGGGTTCAGACAAATACCAGCATTTGCTGCTTACTGCGATCTTGTACAATATACCCAGGGCCTTCAGACAATCAACGTACTGCCTGGGTTCAGACAAATACCAGCATTTGCTGCTTACTGCGATCTTGTACAATATACCCAGGGCCTTCAGACAATCAACGTATGGCCTGGGTTCAGACAAATACCAGCATCTGCTGCTTACTGCGATCTTGTACAATATACCCAGGGCCTTCAGACAATCAACGTATGGCCTGGGTTCAGACAAATACCAGCATCTGCTGCTTACTGCGATCTTGTACAATATACCCAGGCCTTCAGACAATCAACGTACTGCCTGGGTTCAGACAAATACCAGCATCTGCTGCTTACTGCGATCTTGTACAATATACCCAGGGCCTTCAGATAATCAACGTATGGCCTGGGTTCAGACAAATACCAGCATCTGCTGCATACTGCGATCTTGTACAATATACCCAGGGCCTTCAGACAATCAACGTGCAGCCTGGGTTCAGACAAATACCAGCATCTGCTGCTTACTGCGATCTTGTAAAATATACAGGACCTTCAGACAATCAACGTATGGCCTGGGTTCAGACAAATACCAGCATCTGCTGCTTACTGCGATCTTGTACAATATACCCAGGACCTTCAGACAATCAACGTATGGCCTGGGTTCAGACAAATACCAGCATCTGCTGCTTACCTGCGATCTTGTACAATATACCCAGGACCTTCAGACAATCAACGTATGGCCTGGGTTCAGACAAATACCAGCATCTGCTGCGCTGCGATCTTGTACAATATACCCAGGGCCTTCAGACAATCAACGTATGGCCTGGGTTCAGACAAATACCAGCATCTGCTGCTTACTGCGATCTTGTACAATATATCCCAGGCCTTCAGACAATCAACGTACTGCCTGGGTTCAGACAAATACCAGCATCTGCTGCATACTGCGATCTTGTACAATATACCCAGGGCCTTCAGACAATCAACGTACAGCCTGGGTTCAGACAAATACCAGCATCTGCTGCATACTGCGATCTTGTAAAATATACCCGGGACCTTCAGACAATCAACGTATGGCCTGGGTTCAGACAAATACCAGCATCTGCTGCTTACTGCGATCTTGTACAATATACCCAGGGCCTTAAGACAATCAACGTATGGCCTGGGTTCAGACAAATACCAGCATCTGCTGCATACTGCGATCTTGTACAATATACCCAGGACCTTCAGACAATCAACGTATGGCCTGGGTTCAGACAAATACCAGCATCTGCTGCTTTACTGCGATCTTGTACAATATACCCAGGACCTTCAGACAATCAACGTACTGCCTGGGTTCAGACAAATACCAGCATCTGCTGCATACTGCGATCTTGTACAATATACCCAGGACCTTCAGACAATCAACGTACTGCCTGGGTTCAGACAAATACCAGCATCTGCTGCATACTGCGATCTTGTACAATATACCCAGGACCTTCAGACAATCAACGTACTGCCTGGGTTCAGACAAATACCAGCATCTGCTGCATACTGCGATCTTGTACAATATACCCAGGACCTTCAGACAATCAACGTACTGCCTGGGTTCAGACAAATACCAGCATCTGCTGCATACTGCGATCTTGTACAATATACCCAGGACCTTCAGACAATCAACGTACTGCCTGGGTTCAGACAAATACCAGCATCTGCTGCATACTGCGATCTTGTACAATATACCCAGGACCTTCAGACAATCAACGTACTGCCTGGGTTCAGACAAATACCAGCATCTGCTGCATACTGCGATCTTGTACAATATACCCAGGACCTTCAGACAATCAACGTACTGCCTGGGTTCAGACAAATACCAGCATCTCTGCTGCTTACTGCGATCTTATACAATATACCCAGGACCTTCAGACAATCAACGTACTGCCTGGGTTCAGACAAATACCAGCATCTGCTGCATACTGCGATCTTGTACAATATACCCAGGACCTTCAGACAATCAACGTACTGCCTGGGTTCAGACAAATACCAGCATCTGCTGCATACTGCGATCTTGTACAATATACCCAGGACCTTCAGACAATCAACGTACTGCCTGGGTTCAGACAAATACCAGCATCTGCTGCATACTGCGATCTTGTACAATATACCCAGGACCTTCAGACAATCAACGTACTGCCTGGGTTCAGACAAATACCAGCATCTGCTGCATACTGCGATCTTGTACAATATACCAGGACCTTCAGACAATCAACGTACTGCCTAGGTTCAGACAAATACCAGCATCTGCTGCATACTGCGATCTTGTACAATATACCCAGGGCCTTCAGACAATCAGACAATCAACGTACTGCCTGGGTTCAGACAAATACCAGCATCTGCTGCATACTGCGATCTTGTACAATATACCCAGGACCTTCAGACAATCAACGTACTGCCTGGGTTCAGACAAAACACCAGCATCTGCTGCATACTGCGATCTTGTACAATATACCCAGGACCTTCAGACAATCAACGTACTGCCTGGGTTCAGACAAATACCAGCATCTGCTGCATACTGCGATCTTGTACAATATACCCAGGACCTTCAGACAATCAACGTACTGCCTGGGTTCAGACAAATACCAGCATCTGCTGCATGCTGCGATCTTGTACAATATACCCAGGGCCTTCAGACAATCAACGTACTGCCTGGGTTCAGACAAATACCAGCATCTGCTGCTTACTGCGATCTTGTACAATATACCGAGGACCTTCAGACAATCAACGTACTGCCTGGGTTCAGACAAATACCAGCATCTGCTGCATACTGCGATCTTGTACAATATACCCAGGGCCTTCAGACAATCAACGTACAGCCTGGGTTCAGACAAACACCAGCATCTGCTGCTTACTGCGATCTTGTAAAATATACCCGGGACCTTCAGACAATCAACGTACTGCCTGGGTTCAGACAAATACCAGCATCTGCTGCTTACTGCGATCTTGTACAATATACCCAGGGCCTTCAGACAATCAACGTATGGCCTGGGTTCAGACAAATACCAGCATCTGCTGCATACTGCGATCTTGTACAATATACCCAGGACCTTCAGACAATCAACGTATGGCCTGGGTTCAGACAAACACCAGCATCTGCTGCTTACTGCGATCTTGTACAATATACCCGAGGACCTTCAGACAATCAACGTACTGCCTGGGTTCAGACAAATACCAGCATCTGCTGCTTACTGCGATCTTGTACAATATACCCAGGACCTTCAGACAATCAACGTACTGCCTGGGTTCAGACAAATACCAGCATCTGCTGCATACTGCGATCTTGTACAATATACCCAGGGCCTTCAGACAATCAACGTACTGCCTGGGTTCAGACAAATACCAGCATCTGCTGCATACTGCGATCTTGTACAATATACCCAGGCCTTCAGACAATCAACGTACTGCCTGGGTTCAGACAAATACCAGCATCTGCTGCTTACTGCGATCTTGTACAATATACCCAGGGCCTTCAGACAATCAACGTACTGCCTGGGTTCAGACAAATACCAGCATCTGCTGCTTACTGCGATCTTGTACAATATACCCAGGACCTTCAGACAATCAACGTACTGCCTGGGTTCAGACAAATACCAGCATCTGCTGCTTACTGCGATCTTGTACAATATACCCAGGACCTTCAGACAATCAACGTACTGCCTGGGTTCAGACAAATACCAGCATCTGCTGCTTACTGCGATCTTGTACAATATACCCAGGGCCTTCAGACAATCAACGTACTGCCTGGGTTCAGACAAATACCAGCATCTGCTGCATACTGCGATCTTGTACAATATACCCAGGGCCTTCAGACAATCAACGTACTGCCTGGGTTCAGACAAATACCAGCATCTGCTGCATACTGCGATCTTGTACAATATACCCAGGACCTTCAGACAATCAACGTACTGCCTGGGTTCAGACAAATACCAGCATCTGCTGCATACTGCGATCTTGTACAATATACCCAGGACCTTCAGACAATCAACGTATGGCCTGGGTTCAGACAAATACCAGCATCTGCTGCTTACTGCGATCTTGTACAATATACCCAGGACCTTCAGACAATCAACGTATGGCCTGGGTTCAGACAAATACCAGCATCTGCTGCTTACTGCGATCTTGTACAATATACCCAGGGCCTTCAGACAATCAACGTACTGCCTGGGTTCAGACAAATACCAGCATCTGCTGCATACTGCGATCTTGTACAATATACCCAGGACCTTCAGACAATCAACGTACTGCCTGGGTTCAGACAAATACCAGCATCTGCTGCATACTGCGATCTTGTACAATATACCCAGGGCCTTCAGACAATCAACGTACTGCCTGGGTTCAGACAAATACCAGCATCTGCTGCTTACTGCGATCTTGTACAATATACCCAGGGCCTTCAGACAATCAACGTACTGCCTGGGTTCAGACAAATACCAGCATCTGCTGCATACTGCGATCTTGTACAATATACCCAGGGCCTTCAGACAATCAACGTACTGCCTGGGTTCAGACAAATACCAGCATCTGCTGCTTACTGCGATCTTGTACAATATACCCAGGACCTTCAGACAATCAACGTACTGCCTGGGTTCAGACAAATACCAGCATCTGCTGCTTACTGCGATCTTGTACAATATACCCAGGGCCTTCAGACAATCAACGTATGGCCTGGGTTCAGACAAATACCAGCATCTGCTGCTTACTGCGATCTTGTACAATATACCCAGGACCTTCAGACAATCAACGTATGGCCTGGGTTCAGACAAATACCAGCATCTGCTGCTTACTGCGATCTTGTACAATATACCCAGGGCCTTCAGACAATCAACGTACTGCCTGGGTTCAGACAAATACCAGCATCTGCTGCTTACTGCGATCTTGTACAATATACCCAGGGCCTTCAGACAATCAACGTACTGCCTGGGTTCAGACAAATACCAGCAT